TTTTGCTGATTATTCATTTCTTTAGTTACAGTAAAGCCATAATTTGGCATCCCTAGATTTAAGGAATATTCAATTTAAAGAACCACTTATGGAGCACATGGGCTGTAATGATAATAATTTGTTTCTGGTATGTTGGAATAATTGTTTGATTCACACACCTCCCTGGTCTTTTGAACAGGAGTAGAGGTTTATCCCTTGTTTCCTGTTTGATTGGGTTTCTGGTTGCCTCTAATGTCTTTTCATCTTCTTTCACTCCCAGGAATCCCTTGCATCTTAGTGGTACTATCACCATGCTTGGGGTGAATTGATTTAAAAAAAAAAATAATAACACTAATTTTATTAAATTTTGTAATAAAAAACAGCAACCCAATAGATATTAAAAAACTTCACTGGGTTTTAAAAGCCAGTGCTGACAATCCCATTAGCATAGTACCCATCAAAACTGATAGGATTATTTACATATATGTATGATGATTTATTTTTTAAGCCTCTGTTATGAGTACAAAGTAAATTAAGCACTGATTATTTCTACAGAACCATTTCCAAAAATCTTCTCAAGAAGAGCAAACAAAGAGAGGTTGCATTTTATATTTTTGTACCATTTTAGGGAGGCATGGTGGAATAATAAATAGAAGCTCAGATTAAGGAATCTGAGAGTCGAGTTCAAATTCCATTTGAATTCATTACATTCACTTATGTGCTAATACCCTTCGGAAAGGTATGAATCCTCTTCTCCCCTCAGCTATGGGTAAATAGCAGGACAGACCGGGTTCTATAGCCTTGGATAGCAACTGGTCTACTGTAGAAAGAAATGGCAACCTATTGTGAGGAAAAATCTGCCTCATCAGTCATGTATTGCATGGCACATAACTAACTGGCCATTTTACATGACATTGGTCATTTGCAAGCTAAGTGACTTTGATTTGATAAAAACAATTATCATTAAATTTGATGATCTACAGAAATTTCTTAATAAAATGATGTATTTATCGGATTTAACGGACACATACTCCCCACAATTAGTTCTTTAAGTTGAATTCTTAATGTAATTCTTTTCTCAATAACTTGAAAACTTTTCCCTGAAAGTAAATTGAATAAGTTGCTGACACATTGGCCAGACTTAATATCATCAGGATTTCTTTCTTTGGGAGCATATGAATGACTTAGTTTATGTTGAAAAGGCTCAGAAATTGAAGATTCAAATTACTACAAATTTTGAGGAAGTTTACACCAAATTCTGCAAGCATGTCTTGCACTCTGTGCCTGCTCAACTGCAATTGTGCATTGATCATAGGGGAGCGCACATTGAACATTGCAAGTAAAAGAACTTGGTAAATTTCCTTAATAATTTTGCCCTGAATAAACAGTTAAATAAACATGTCTTTCATTGACTTCTAGTTTCTTGCAAACTTTAATACAAATGGCAAACCAAAAATCAAAGACTAATTTTGGCTCATCCTGTATAAAACTCGACATTAGATTTGAAAAAAAAAAGATTGTCTTAATATCCTGCTGATATTTTTCATAATTGACAAAAGGAATTCAAAGAACTTGAAATTTTCTTTATGTTTGAAATTATCTTGGGTAGATAAATATTCATTTTCTTATATCTACTGGAAATATTTATATTTTCTTAGATAGACTGGAAATTATTTTCATAAATAAAAAGATGGTTTTTATGTTTATTTTTTAGAATAAAACTTTAAAAAATAATGACATTTTGAAAGGCTTGTTTACTTTAACAAATTTAAATATTTTTTAATTACTATTTTAAAAATATCACTATTCTTTAAAATACCATAATTATATATTGTCTTTTTTAATCATTTTATTATATTTAAAAGGATTTGGATTAGATAAGGGCTTGTTAATAGAATCTCTCAAAATGCACACAGTTTTCCAAATATTCTTACTTTTAGCACAGATATATAGGTAACAAATTTTATCAAAGAGAAAGTAAAACAATAAAGAAAGAACAAGAGATAAAATTCTTAAATTTAAAACATTGGAAGATAACAATAAAAGAGAATAAGAATTGATGGCACCAATTTAGAAACATTTCTGTTCTACATTCTTGGAGGCAACTGAGCCAGTTATTTGGAATTGTGATAAAAATTTTGGAAACTGGAATCCATAAATTAATATGAAAGAAACTGCATGAAAAGCAAACACTTTTTTTTGTTTTTCTTTTTACAAAAGATATATAGAATAATGAATATATGATTTAGGCAGATATAAATTTAAACCATATACTTAGATATGTATATTTAATAATTTTGCAGTTTTTAAAAACATTTATATATTATAAATTTAATATATATATATATATATATATATATATATATATAAGGGAAATGTATGACAAAGTGGAAAAGTTTTGTGTGACACATTTTACATTTTGTCATTTGGATGTCATAAGTCAAAAGTGAGATTTATGTTGATGCAGCGACACATGAAGGAATAAGCCAAGAATTTCAAATTTAAAGAAATTTTTTTTAAATATATTTTTTGGGTATATAGTTTAGCCATTTTCATCCATTTTCTTTTTGCTTATGTTTTATCAATTTTCCTTAATTGATAGATTATAATGTTCTTACAACATTTCGCCTTTCTTGGCAGATCTTGATAACAAAAGTGAAAACAAAAAAAAAACAAAAAACAAAAATGAAATTCCCCATGGATAATACGCATTTTTTTCTAAAAAATAATAAGCAAAATCAGAGATGCTTATTATGCACAAAATAAGAATTATCATAAAACTAAATTAAAATAATATTATTCTATGTTTAAAACTATTCTTTTAAATAAGAGTAGACAAGCCTGGCCATAATGAAATTGGAGAGATACAATTTATAGGGTTTTGATTACAAAACAAGGGGTGTATATTATGTGTGAGTAGAAGCATTTTCCACACTCTTTCAGGTGTGCGTATTATTGGCGAAGGTGTATTATATATGGGAAATTATGGCAAATGAAATCAGATAGACTATATAAACACATATTTAAAAAAAAAAAATTTAAAATTTTCAGCCTCTTTTCCCCATTGTGCACATATTTAGACACATCAAAGTAAACATCATTGATGAAGTCTGAAAGGATGAAATGTATAACTTTTCCACTTTCTTATAGATTTCCTGAAAATTGTTCTGGATATATAAAAATTTATATATTGTTTTTCCAATATATATATATATATATATATATATATATATATATATATATATATATATATATATATATATATTTATATATATATATTGGTCTATTTGGGCAGCAATTTTTCATTTATACACATTTAGTTAAAGATGATGAAAGTTTGTGTTTAATTTTTTTTATTTATTTTTGTCTTAGGCTGAACTATTTTTTGGTTATCCGGGCAGAGCTTGAACATAAATTGTCCAATATTTTATGCACACTTCAGGTTTCATATACTATTATCAAAAGATTTTGCTATAGTTTAATAGGGTTGGTGTCTGTAAAGGAATACTTTATCATTTTTTGACAGTTTTTGAGTGTCATATCTTTACTTGCTGATGGATGGGGTTGTGTTTTTCAAAAAGAAGAAAAATTTTAAAATTTTATCGAGGTAACTTTCATCGGACTTCAACCAACATGCATAAATATATATATATATATATATATATATTTTAAAAAATGTAAGAAAGAATAGATGGAATAAATTTTAATTCCTGAAAGGATTTAAATTTAAAATTTAATTTTTTTACTTTTATATTTGGTTAAGAAATAATAGAATATGAAAATTTAAAAATATATATATATATATATATATATATATATATATATATATCAAAGAATATATACAATGTATTAACATATATGTATATACATATATAATAACTATATATGCAATATATCATATATGTGTGTGTGTGTGTATGTGTGTGCATTTACATTATTATGCTCAAATTTAATAGCAAAATCATTAACGTTTTTAATTTAACAAAGCCAAATTCAGATCCATTTACACAAAAAGTTTAAAGTTTCAAGTTGTTTGAAGAAAATGATGAGTCATCATCAGAGATAAAAAAAATAAAGGAAAAAAGGCTGCAAGAGTTTAGCAAGTAAGAGACTGATCACAGGGGGCATAAGGTGTGAAAGACTTGCCCAAGATATAAAAGTCAGTTTCAAAATTTACATAGTAGCAAATTTTTAAATAGATTTTTTTATTTTATTGATGAGCAGCCTACTGTACATCGTGATGGTGGTGGTGGTGGTGGTGGGGGGTTACTTCCTGTTGGATGGAAGAAAGAGCTGGGGAGGGGTCCAAATCTATTCGAAAACATAAAAAAAGGGAAAACTTTTACAGATATGTATATTCAATACTCATCTCTCTCTCTCTCCTTTTTGAAAAGCACACACACACACACACATTCTTGCATAAACTCACTCTTCCTTTCACTTATGCAGAAGATACATTCTCTTTCTCTCTCCTTCAGACATACTTATTCTCTCTCTCTTTTTCATATTCTCTTTCTCTCATACATACACACACACTTTTTCATAGACATACTCTTTCTCTCTCTATGCTCATATTCTTTCTTTCTCTCTACTCTCATATGTGCACCTCCATGCACAAATGCACACACATACACACACACACACACAGACACAAACATTCTCTTTCCTACACATGCGTACACATACATATGCATAGATTTACATTTTAAACAAGGTTTGGTAATCCAAAGTGCAATTAATTCTTTGATAAAAATGCTTCATCAGTTTTTCATGTTTATTTTGAAAAGTTGTCAGGTTTTTTGAAAAATAGGCATTAATTAGAGATTAAAGTATTGTGCTGTATAAACACACAGGCCACATGATGTACAAGTACACACGCACACGGACACATACACAACCAAAACGTATACATATATATATGAAGGAGGCGATAAATGCTTCTCAGCCTGAACTATTTTGCAAAATCAATATTTCAATAACCTCTCATCAGAACCAATGATATTGATAAGTGGGTCAGGCCAATGAATTTTTTAGCATCCTCTTATATCTATCTATCTATCTATCTATCTATCTATCTATCTATCTATCTCAGTCTATTCACATCTATCTATCTATCTATCTATCTATCTATCTATCTATCACATCTATCTTGGTATGTATCTATCGATCTATTTATCCCAGCCTCTTCTTATCTACCTATCTTGGTTGGTTTATATCTATCTATCTATCTATCTATCTATCTATCTATCTATCTATCTATCTATCTATCTCTGTTCATATCTATCTATCTTGATCTGTTTATATTTATCTATCTCTCTAAGCCTGTTCGCATCTATCTACCTACCTACCTACCTACCTACCTATCTATCTATCTCAGTCTAATCACATCTATCTTGGTATGTATCTAAAAAAAGAAGAGAGAAACCGTAAACGTTTTGGGGTGTAATGTGGATATTTTTAAAGAATATTCTGCTTTATTTTTGATAATTATGGTAAATAAAGCATAATATTTAAAAAATATCACATTACAAACCAAAAAAACGTTGCCATTCTTCTCTCCTATATTATATATATATATATATATATATATATATATATATATATATATATATATATATATATATATATATATGTATGTGTGTGTGTGTGTGTGTGTGTGTGCATAATTAAATAAGGAACAATTTTGAAACGCTTTGTAAATTTGATGTTTTGTTTTTGCTTCAGTTTGTCAGATTTAATCTATATTTTAAATTTATATATATATATATATGTGTGTGTGTGCCTGTGTGTCTCATATATAGAGCCCACCTACTGCCAATTGGTAAATTAGCAAAAGATTAGAATTTCAAGATGATTATTTATTAAACAAAGAATGTTTCACTTCATTTTTATGTAAAATTGTATTTTTAATTTTAATAAAAGTCCCATTCATACATTGTTCATTGCTGAAAATGTTAACAAACAAAATTAATAGAGTATATCTGCAGAAAACTGTATTCAGATCAATAATTATATCTATTCAATGGCATTTAGAATAATTTGAAATATAACCATTAACCAATAAGTAATAGGAGAATGCAATAAACCAAATGAAAAATATGTGATCTTGCTACCTATAATGCCCAAATGACTAGCATATATAAATAGCTGAGCTACCCTACAACATACATGACATAAAGGCTGAGCTCATATATATATATATATATATATATATATAATTATTATTTATAAAAAAATTATAACATAAGTATGTTATAAAATCACTACAAAAATAGCCATTTTGTTTCAACACCCTCAGTGTCTTATCAATGATGATGTTGAAAATAAAATAAATGGTTTTAAAAGTTTCAGATTAATTAACGATCCCTACACTGCAGGAAACATTGTTACAAAAGCTAGAATAACCAATCAAAAAACCAAGTATAGAAAGATTCAAAAGCTTGACAATGAAATCATGTTATAATAGCTATTCAGATCTTTAAAATACGGGTAATATTAAAATAATTTATACTAACCAATAATTATAAAATTATATGATAAAATTTAATATTAAAATTAAAAACTGGCAATTTTAAAATCAAATTTAATCTAAATTATATATATATATATATATATATATATATATATATATATATATATATATATTTATGAAAATTGACAAATGACAAACTGGAAAGGGGTTTTTTTGTGATGTGTTTCATCCATTAGGATTTCATTGGATTTGAGATATATATGTTGATGTTTATACATCTCAAAAAATGAAAAGGTTTTTGTGAGGTTTCATCCATTAATTTCAAACTGGGCTTTGTTTTTGAAAGAATGTTTTTTGAAAGAATTTTTTTTTTTACAAAAAAAATTCATATCCAAATTCATCTGTATTTTTTTTTCTTTTTCACCTTTGTTTCTGACTATCCCACACTGTGACAATATAAAATCTTCCAAGAATGGTGATATATTGTAAGAGCCTGAACACAAATTTATTGTGGCTGAACAAGCGATCAAGGCATTTTCCAGACATTTTCATCTCAGTGGATTATTTTCTCTTTTAATCAAATTAGCATTCTGTATTTCAAAATTGTCATCCATTTTGTTATTGTGGAAAACCAATGCATTTTGTGTGTTGTTATTTAAAATATCCCTTTTGTGTTCATATATAGTCTCTTGTTTAAACTTCTTAAGCTTTCTCCAGTGTATTCATTCTGATAATTCCTGCATTTGATAGAGTAAATTCCTCCATCAAGTTTTGGCTGGTTGTTTTGTTTTTTTTTATTACGTCTTTGGTTGTTTTAGATGTAATTGTGACAAATTTTATGTTGAGTTTAGATAAATCCTTTTCAGTTGTAGTTGTGAAAGTGTTATTTTGTCGAATAATATATTTTTTTGATTTGTTGGGTTTGTCAGGAAGGACTGCTCTTTTTTATGAGCTTTTTGTTTCACATTGAAAATGAAATGGTTAGGCTATTGAAGGATCTTGAATATATTTTCAATATATTTCTACTCTCTGTGTAAATATTGAGGGCTGCAAATTCAGAGTGCTCTTAAATAGAATCCAATGATCATTCTGGATTTTATTTTATTATGATAGGAATAGAAAAAGTCATTTTTATTAGTTGATTTTCAGTGGATACTAAGTTTTAGGCTGATGCCAACTCAGTGTAACATAATGTCTAGGAAAGGTAAAGTAGAGTTTTTTTTTTTCTATTTCATATGTGAATTCTATCATGTGTTCAGTTTTGTCTAATTTATCTACAAAATCCAGTAAGTTAGTCTCATAGGGATATATTAACAGAGCATCATCAATATATCGGAAATGATTTGATTATTTAGGTAAAATATTTTGGAAAAAAGTAGACTTGAGAAATTCCAAGAAAATCCCATTAGTAATTGAAATTTTTGTTTGTAAATTTTTTATATCTGATGGACTTATTGTTCCAAAGAAAGGGGTTAATATTTGCTGTGGGTATGGCTCTAGCACTGCATATTTCAGAAATGATGGGGATACCATTTTGTGGGTTTTAGGGAGACTGTAAGGTTTTGTTGTTGTAGGGTGATATTCGATGAGTCAATACCATGATTTATTTACATTTTTAATCAGTTTCCTGATATCTTTGTTGAATTTAGTGTTTCAGTAGTTATTTATTTTGTTTATTTTTTCGTACGTGTCTGTATCTTTGAGTAATGAGTTTATTTTTTGTATATATGTCATCCTGTTTATGATTACAATGCCACCTCACTTGTCAGGGGGAGTGATGTGGATTTCCTTATTTCTCACTAGGTTCTTTTAGTACATTTCGGTATCTCAGTGATAATGTATTTTTATTGTTGTTTTTTACAGTAGTAGTGATTATGCCTTGAATGAAACCTTTGGTGAATTCATTATAGTGTCTTCTGTGTCTTCTTTGTGGATTTTGGTTGCAAATTTTAAACCAAAACTGACGGCTTCTTGGTCTCTATTGGAAAGCATTACATTTGATAAATTTTCTATTAGATTAAGATTTTCAATATATATCCACTTGCTATTGATTCATAGGTTGGTGATTTTTTTTGCCTGAGGTTTTTGTTTTGATTGTCACTCATTTGTTTCATATTTTGGCGTAGTTGAGTCATTTCTAGCCTTTTTATAACATACTTTTTGTGGAGTTACATTTTAACAGTTCTGGCTTTGTTAGTGGTTAGCTTTTTCAATACCACTAGTTCTTCGGCAGATGCTTTTAGGAAATTGCATGCATATGTTGGAAAAATGTGATGTGATGTTCTAATTATTTTGTGTGTGCATCGTGCGATCATATTTTCATCAATGCATTCCAGCAAGAATTCTTTTCAGTTTCTGAATTGGCTGATGTTACTTGATTAAAAGAGAAAATAATCCAGTGTGACAAAAATGTCTGGAAAATGCCTTCATCACAAGTTCAGCCATGATAAATTTTTGTACCATTTTGGAATGTTTTATGTGCCTTTTGTTTCTCATTGAAAATGAAATCATTAAGGTATTGAAGGGTTGTGAATGTATTTTCAATATATTTCTCCTCTTCATGTAAGTACTGAGGGCTGCAAATTTGGAGTGCTCTTAACTAGAATCCATTGATCATTCTGGATTTTATTTTGTTGTTATGATGAGAGTAAAAGTTTATTAAGTCATTTTTATTAGTGGATTTTCAGTGGACACTAAGTTCTAAGCTATTGTCAACTCGGTGTAACATGATGTCTAAGAAAGATAAAGTATTGTTATTTTTTTATGTATGTGAATTCTGTTGTGTGTTTAATTTATGAACACAAAAAGGGACATTTTAAATAACAACACACAAAACACATTGGTTGTTAACCATAACAAAACGGACCATAATTTTGACATAGGAAATGCTAATTCAATTAAAAGAGATTATAATTCACTGAGACGAAAATGTCTGGAAAGTGCCTTGATCGCTTGTTCAGCCACAATAAATTTGCGTTCAGGCTCTTGCAATATATCACCATTCTCAGAAGATTTTATATTGTCACAGCGTGGGATAGTCAGGGACGAAGGTGATGGAGAGAAAAAGAAAAAGAATGCAGATGATTTCGGCTAGATTGAGAAAAAAAGCATTTCACCTCAATCAAGGTGGGAGTTCCACTAGCACTCATGGAGTTACAGAGCGTGGGTGCAAGAGTGAAGAGGTGTGATAGAGGAATGGATGAAGAGAAGAACGGGAAATTAGATGAAGGCTTCTGAAGATGTCATTTGACATTGCATTTGAATAGTTGAAGAGGAAGGGAGTTCCACAGACGGGTAGTGCGAGACATGTAGGTATTGGAGTAAAAGAGATGGCTACATTTAACAGATTTGTCAGTGAAAAGGTGAGACTCAGATGCCAATCTGATCACACGCTTAAATTCATCTAGTTTGGGAACCAGCAAAAGTAGCTCATCAGAGCAGTTACCATGAAATTATTTGTAGGGATGTGACAGTACATCTGTGAGAAAGTGACTGTAGATGAGATGCCAGATCAGGACCAATCACATTGCATATCCATCTCTGTATTCAGCTCTTCAAAAAGTGTGATATTCAAACAAGAAAGAGTTTGTCTGAAGATCGTGAAAGCATGAAACCTGGGGTTACAAATTACTATCAATGCAACTGTATATGTTAGCTCTATCATGGATATTGAGCACTTTCCATTAAATACTGTGCATATATATATCTATATATATATATGTGTGTGTGTGTCTGGTTATATGTATATATACTTTTATCAATTTGTTTTTTTGCATTTTATCTATTTTTAACAAATTTATATACTTGTAAATATATACAATGTACAATATATATATATATATATATATAGAGAGATATAGAGATAAGTATATGTATGTGTGTCTATATATATATATATATATATATATATATATATATATATATATATATAAATATATACTCAGATAAATATGGACTCACTGACATGCACACATGTACACATACACACATGTGTGTGTGTTTTGTCAAATCAGAATAAAGTAGCATCTTTGGGGAAATATTTGGAATCAAATTCTGTTTTTCCATTCCTGTAGAACTTCATTCTTTTGATCTGTTTTCTTTGATGCTCTTTGTTGATTACCGTTCTTGCAGATTCTTGCAAATTGCCATTGATTGCAAATCTTTGTCTGCTGAACATTTCAATGTTAAATTCTTCTTCCACAATAGATTTGACAATTTTTTTCATGTCTGTGGATAAAATATAACTTGATTTAAGACAGTCTTCTTTCCAGATAAATGATATTTATTTTAATAAGACCTTCATATTTAAGACCTTTTTATGCAAGAGAAGTTCTTATGATGTTGACAGAATGTTTTTAGTGAATAGTTAAATGATTTCTACTTCCCAAACTCTTTTGTCTCAAAATTTGAGTTTAATGGTTCTTTTGTCTTTTTGTGGAGTCTTTGAACATTTATTAATTATTTAGGAAGAATTGTAAAAAAAAAAACATGTACGCTGCTTTTAATCAAATATGATTGAATAAAAGTTGCTGGTTATTAGTGAATCTTTCTCTCTCTTTTTTTATTTATCTATTTCAGTCTCTTCATATCAATCTAAATCTGTTTATCTATCTATCTCAAAATCTATCACAGTCTATCTATCTATCTCTCTATCTATCTGTATATATATATATAAATATATATAAATATATTTATTATAATTTTTACATACAGACAAAAACTACTTACTTACTAGAAAGATGAATTCTTGTTTTGATGCTGCTGCATCTCAATTGATGAGAACCAAAAATGGTTAGGAACAATTCTATTGACAAATAAGCTGTTTATGGAAAAATAAAATAAAATTTTTTTTTTACTTTTAGAATTTTTTTGTAGAATTTTTTTAGAATTGTTTATAACCATTTTTAGTTCTCACCAGTCAAGATGCAGCCACATCGAAACAAAAATGCATCTTTGTAGTGAGTACGTTGTTTTTGTCTGTATGTAAAAATTATATATATATATATAAGTAAGATGTGTATATATGTGATTGTTTTGAGTTTGTATGTGTATGTATATGGTGTTGTGTTACTTGGATGTGATTGCAGTTTGTATGTGTTCTTTGGATGTGTGGGAGGCTGTGTGATCATAGGCATATATATATGTATATATATATATATATATATATATATATATATATGGGTATGTATAAACTGTTTTTATTTGTGTTTGTGTGTTTATCCATGTGGATGTATATATATATATATATATATATATATATATATATATATATATATATATATATCAGGAAGATTAGAACAAATAGAGTACAATTCATAACATTTAATTTAAAACCTTATGCCACACACTTTTCTGTTTTTTCATAGGAAGAGGTTGTATTCTGCTTTTAAATCTAAATAAGTCATTTACTCACCAGTAATTTACAATCACTTGATGAGATGCAATAATACATATCGGAACATGACTGCAATTGTGTACTGATTTTGACATGTTTTCAGTGTAATATCCTAAAATAAATAAATATATATATATATATATATATATATATATATATATATATATATATAATAAATTTTTTCATATTAATATTGTATTGAGCATGATGATATGTAGATAAATACAAAATATAGTTTTGTATTAATTGTAAATTTGCTAATATCCATATATATCCATATATATATATATATATATATATATATATATATACATATATATATATATATATATATATTTAATTGCACGTGTGTAATTTGTATTATTTTCATAATTATAGATGTGTATATTTATATTTTGTTGGGCGTATATAAGTTTTGGGGTTTTGCGTTTTTGTGAATTTGTTTAAATGGGTTTAAATAGTATTTCATTTTTTTTTTCTACATTTATTTATACTTATTTCTAATTTTATTTTTCTTACAATTTCTATTTTATTTTATTTTATTTTAAACAAATTCCATCAACAATATAGACTGTTCCACTGCCACTATAATTTGGTACCAGTCAGTTTTCAATCAGCAACGGAAGATTGTGTTGTGACTGAGTTGTGCTACTGGTGAGGAAAAAAATGTATATTTATTATTAATACATATATATATATCTGTAAAAAGTAGCTCTGGAAAGTTCATGTAATGACCCACTTCTCGAAATTCTGTTCAAAATAGCAGACATTCAAATCCTTTAGGAAGGACGTCTTGGCTGAAATGAGAATTTTTCAGCAGCCCCTTGTATACATACATATACGCAAACACAGACACACACACACACACACACACAGATATATATGTGCATAATACCAATTTGTAATTGGTAGGGATAATTCCAAGGAGGACATTAATCCAAAGAGAGTTCAATGTAAATTACAGATAAATTATAATAAGAAATGAAGAAAAAACCTTAAAAATCCATCTTGGTTATAATTTATTTTAATATTCATCTCTTCAGATCAAAAGTTTTTTCAATCTGAATATTTCATGAATACTTAAATATTCATGAAATAAATTATAACTGAGATGCATTTTCAATTTTTTTCTTGATTTATTATATATATATATATATATATATATAATCTGCATGCATATGAAATTACATATATGTAAATATATAAACATGTGTAATGGATTTTTTATTTATTAATCAGACAGATTTTATCAGGCTAAACATTATTTTTAGTCGATACTCAGTATCTTGAATATGCAGACTGATACATAAAAATATATAAATATACTGTTTTAACATTTTTTGTTTTACACACTGTTTCAAGCACATATTTGTATGTCTATATATATATATATATATATATATATATATATATATATATATATATATACCAAGCAGACTATGTTGACAGGCATCTGCTATGACTTACAGGGAATTTATGTCAGTTTTGTGACAAAATATGTGGGTCAGCAGCAAGTCTGTAGATTCCCATGCATGTGCATAAGGACTAAATAAACTTGAAGATCATAAAGAAGAGATGCAGTCATTTATGTGTCATTTATGTGTTCATGGTTACTAAATACAAAATTGAATAGATGTGTGTGCATTTGTGCATGTGTATGTGTGTGTGTGTGTGTGTGTCTGTGTGTGTGTGTGTGTGTGTTTATGTCGTTTTATTTCTGTTTACCTTGCATACTTCAAGTCCCACCCTCAACTCTTACACCACTCTCATCTTCATCCTCTCTTTCTCTCTCTCTGGGTGCTGCAAGTGGTGTTGGGGGGTGTCTGTTGATATGGATGAAGGAAACAGATTTGCAAGTAAAGAAATTAAATTAAATTAAATTAAAAAAAATTAAAATTGAAACATTTCTTTGTCTATAATCTGAATTTGTCTGGAAGCTGAATTTGTGTCATAAAAATACAATAAAATAAAAATTAAAAATCACAAAATAAACACTAAATACAAAGAAAATTTAAAATAAAAATGGAATAGATAGAAAAAAATAAGCAGAATTTCTTACAAAAATTATTAGTAATCTGTTCTGCAGATAATAATACTCCCATCCCCAAAGAGGATAGACAGAAGCTTATACTACCTCTGTAGCATAATATATATATATATATATATATATATATATATATATATATATATATATACCTAAGAATTTTATTTATTTCTTTCAACATTATATTTTGGAGATGCTTGTTTATAAGAAGATATCACCATTTTTTAAATTAGGAGTCTTAATCTAGGAATACGCTTTATATAATGTTTAAAGTAATAAATATATATATATATATATATATATATATATATATATATATATATATATATATATATATATATATATATATATATATATATACATAGGTCAGTGATGCATTGTGGATAGTCTGTTCTATTGTTCTGATGGTTACTTTGGTGGACAGTAATGGTTATATATCAAATTATTCTAGGGACTATTGTGCGGAAATAATTGTGGATCCTAATGAAGTTTTTTGACTATTTTATAGTGTTGTATTTTAACTTTTTTATTTGGATTATTTTATTGTTGATTGTTATTATTACATTTACTTGTGCTTATGCATGTTTTCATGGTTTGTTAATTTGTTTATTATTTAATTAATCTATTTACTTATTTATTGTTTTGGATTAATTTATTTTACTTATTTTTGTTTATTTTTATTTAATTTTATTTATTTATTTTTGTGCATTATTATTCGTTTTTTGTTTACAATTTTTAAGCAATGTAGTAAAAAATTTTTCCATGTCTGCATTTCGAGATGAGTTCTGATCATTTATTTAGTAGTTTGTTTTGATCTGGGAAGATAATTATAGCTATTTTCTCCTCCAGACAGAGTTTAAAATTTGGGAATTTATTGTTGTAGACTGATGCTCTTTTTCTTATTTTCCATGAAATTTTTTATATGATTTGGCTTTTGTTCTTAATTTCCCAGATATGTCTTGAAAATATTGTGCTGTTACAATTTGTAAAGGATGTATCTGTGTGTAGTTTCTCTACTTATAGGGTCCTTCAGTTACTCCTATGTGTAGTTTTTCTTTGTGACCTGCTGATATTACAGTAGTTTGGTATATTACCTTATTCTGTAAGCAA